AATTTCAGAAGTGTTCCTTCTGGGGTTTCCCTGGTGGTCAAGTGGCTAAGACTCGACGCTCCCAGTGCAGCCAACCCAGATTCCATCCCTGGTCAGGGAACTAGATCCCATTAGCCACAACTAAAAGATCCCTCAAGGCTCAGCCAGATAAATAAATGTTTAAAAAAAAGTGTTCACTTCAAGTACAGCAGAGAGGGGGATTCAAGTGAAGGATGGAGGCATGGTGGCTGATTTTTCAGGACATGGAAAGGTTCGAGCTACTTGCCTGCAGTGGGTTTTTCCTATCCACAGTGTATCTTTTATCCTGCAAATCCCTGAGGGGCTCAGCACTCAGAGACACCAAGAACCAAAGAGCAGGGCTCAGGAGTGGGCCCAAAGACGGGTGGATAGCTGAAATTCTGTAAATCGAGCAGTTGTCTTGGGTCCTTCCCCTGTCATCTGGGGACCCCCATCCCTCTGTTCTGTCCTGCCCTTCTCCTATTTCTCCATCCAACAGAAACCAGAGGCCTATTCTCCAGATGAACTGGATGGTGGTGATGTGTCAGGCCCTGGAAGGCTAGGCAAAGCGGAGGACAGAAGACAGGGATTAGTCAGACTTGTGCTGAGCTGTGGGGCTCTTCAGCCCTTTTCTCCTCTCTGACTCCAGAACAGCAGCAGGCAGACCTATACGCCCAGGCAGGCAGCTGGAGGGCTCTTTCTGGAGAGTACAACTAGCCTCTGGGAAGGCCTGGGCACTAACTTTCAGGGAACCAAAAATCTAATGATCTTCTGGTGGAACCCACAAGTTCCTGAAATCTCCATAGAAAACTTCCAGTCAGTGTTGCAGGACCTTGTCCCATATATAAGGACAGCACAGGACCATGAGTTATCTGAGGAAGGCTCCAAAGTGACAGAGAGGGCCCAAGACAAGTGGAAACAGAAGACTCAGAGGGAGGGTGCCGACAATGCAGGAAGCTAAAACTAATAAGCCCTATGATTACCATCTTAAAAGATATGTGGGAAAAAGATACATCCATGAAACCAGGACAGGACACAATGAGAAAATAGCCAGAGCACAGAATTTTGAAAAGAAAAGAAAACAGAATCAAATGAAATAAAGCAAACAGAATGAAATGATAGAACAGTTGGAATCTAAAATCAATAGAACAAAAAAGAGAGAGCAATAAAGGAGAAAGGCTAAGGCTAAGCAGATAACTACTTCTCCACAGAAGTTCCAGAAATACAGACCAAAGGGGGAAGAGTACTGAAGAAACAGCACAGGAGAATTTCTCAGAAATGAAGAAAACAAGTGTCCGGAATGATTGTATTTTAGGAAGATGGGAGGAGAGGTAGTGATGAGGATGTCAAAAGTTCATGTCTACAGCTGATTAATGAAAAGCTGCAAGAAGAATATTACAAAAAATTTGAAAGTGGCTATCAGAAGAATTTGCTAGAAGAGTTGACAGCCTTTGTTTTGGGGCAGTGGAATTGGGGAGAGGAATTAGAGAAACAAATCGCTGTTTGTTACTATTGCTTTTATTTGCAGCTCTAAGACTGATTATTTCGTGCCCTTATTAAGCTTGGGGCTCTACAGCATTGAACTTTACTTCCATCACCAGTCACATTCACAACTGGGCCCTGTTTTCACTTTGGCTCTGTCCTTCAATTCTTTATGGAGTTATCTCTCCACTCTTCTCCAATAGCATACTGGGCACCTACCAACCTGGGGAGTTCATCTTTCAGTATCATATCTTTTTTGCCTTTTCATGCTGTTCATGGGGTTCTCAAGGCAAGAATACTGAAGTGGTTTGTCATTCCCCTCTCCAGTGGACCACATTTTGTCAGAACTTTCTACTATGACCTGTCCATCTTGGGTGGCCCTACACGGCATGGCTCATAGTTTCATTGTATTAGACAAGTGTGTGGTCCATGTGATAAGTCTGATTAGTTTTCTGTGATTGTGGTTTTCATTCTGTCTGTCCTCTGATGGATAAGGATAAGAGGCTTACGGAAGCTTCCTGATGCGGAGAGACTGACTAGGGGGGAAACTGGGTCTTCTGATAGGCAGGGCCGTGCTCAGTAAATCTTTTTTAAAATTGATGCTTTCAAACTGTGTGTTGGAGAAGACTCTTGAGAGTTCCTTGGACTGCAAGGAGATCCAACCAGTCCATCCTAAAGGAAATCACTCCTGAATATCCATTGGAAGGACTGACACTGAAGCTGAAACTCAAGTACTTTGGCCACCTGATGCGAAGAACTGACTCATTAGAAAAGATCCTGATACTGGGAAAGATAGAAGTCAGGAGGACAGAGGGACAACAGAGGATGAGATGGTTGGATGGCATCACCATCTCGATGGATGTGAATTTGAGCAAGCTCCGGGAGTTGGTGATGGACAGGGAAGCCTGGTGTGCTGCAGTCCATGGGGTCACGAAGAATCAGACATGACTGAGCGACTGAACTGAACTGAATTGAATTAAGCCTGGTTACTTTTTTAAACTTGGACAAAAATAAAAATGCATTTTGAAAAAAGAAATAAGGATAACAATTAAGAAAGTATCTCCTTCCAGATTGTTTAGTCTAACATACTAGAGTAAATCCTTCAAGTTATATAGTTATGCATAAACAGAAAAACATTTTTTCACCAGAGTATGCATGTTGCTAAATAATTGATTCTTTAACCCAAAAGTATACTGGAATTATGTACCTGCCAATAAAATATATAGAAAGCCTATATATAGAAGGCCCACTGCTAGGTGGTACAGAAGAGAATGAAGTTGTATACAGTTAACAATTATAAAAGCTGCATGATCTGAGTGCCCTGGGAGAGAAATGAAAGGGCTGGTCTTATTCAGGGAGACTCCTTAGAAGAAGTGGTTTCCAGGAAGCGCTCTAAGTCACAGATGTGGAGGCCTTGGTGAGCGAGGACACAGTGCTCTGAACGGTGCCAGCCCCACATCATACACAACCAGTGATGTGCGTGTCTGAGACTTGCTGGGCCCACATCAGTCACGGTTGGCCAAGGGACAGGAAATTCCTTGCTGGCTCCAGGGGGCTCTGTCCTTGGCTGGGAAGGAGGCCGGGTGGGGCCAGACCCCTTCCTCGTCTTGATGATGGTATTCACCACATGCCTCACCACGCTAGATCCACAAGTCTCTTTTCAGGCTGGCTTAATAAGCCCTGCAGGTGGCTCTGCTGAGACCTGAGCTCCAGCTCAGCCGTCCTTCCCAGCCTTGCTGTGCCCCTGGGCTGGACTCTCTCTGCCTTGTGCATGATGGCCGGTGAGGGTCTCGTAGGATGCCAGTGCTTCCCAGTCACTCTGGGGACTCCTTGGAGGCCTGAGTGCTTCATTTCCTCAGAAGTCAGGCTCCTGATGCCTTGAATAAGTAACACAACCCAGAAAATTGGCTAGAAGGAATTGAAAAGCCTCTGGCAGGGTCTTCTGGGATGCCAGCTGGGCTCACGACTCAGGGATGTGGGAACTGAGATGCAGGGGAAGAGCCTTGGATGGGGCTCCGGGGAATGACACAGGCTGGCGAAGCTCTCCTGTGCTGGCTGCAGGGTTCTCTGTGTGAAAGGGTGTCTGAGGAACAGGTGAAACCAGAGACTTTGATCCTGGAGAATAGGGTGGGCAGAACCCTACAGCGTTAAGCACCCAGGCAATGGGATCCTTGAACTTTTTGAGAAACCCGGACTCTTTTCCCCTAAGTATCACTTAAGACATTGGATCTTATACTTGACTGCACAGAGGAATCATCTAGAGGAGCTCTCACACATCCTGATGCCCAGGTCACCTCATGTCAATTCAAGCAGAATATAGGGAGGTTGGGGGTGGGAGGGACTCAGGCTCAGCACCTTTTTTATTTTTAAGCTTCTTGGGTAACGTTAATGTGCAGGTAACGTCGAGAACTGATGGTCTGACAGTGGCTCTCTATCTTAACACTGAAGTGTTAGCTGCTCAGGCATGTCTGACTCTTTGTGGCCTCATAGACTGTAGAATTCTCCAGGCAAGAATACTGGAGTGGGTAGCCATTTCCTTCTCTAGGGGATCTTCCCGACTCAAGGATCAAACCTGGGTCTCCCACATTGCAGGCAGTTTCTTTACCATCTGAGCCACCAGGAAAGCCCAATCCTGACTGCACATTAAAATCAATTGGGAAGGAAAAGAACAACAACAGCAACAACAAAATGAGCAGGCTGCCTCAGCGCCCTAAACCCAAGAAGATCAGCCTGGACTTTTTGGCATTAGAAATCAGCCAGGGTTGGAGGCCGGGCCTAATGGGCACAGAGCTGTTTCTGTCAGCTGTGTGTGGTCTCAAGATTCAGCTCCAACCTCCATCTGTGGGGAGGGAGGCCCCTCACCTTTTAATTTCGAGACATGAAGCCCCCCAGCCCAGCCCTGGCATGGGACAGTACTCGGTGAATATTTCTTTGTCTTCTGTTAAACTGGCTCTTATTCTTGTCCAAACCAAGGAAACCTGTAGCAGAAGAAAGGCTCTGGGACACCCCAGTATGAGAGCTGGGAGAGATCCCCGAACACAGGTCACTCGGGGAGCAGAGGTGCAGCTGCTCCTCAGGACAGCTGTGGGTCTCCCCAGTGGGCTGGCTCCGTCTCTCTGGTCCAAGAGCTTTTGGGTGTGTGTGTGCCTCTAGGGAGCTGGCTCTGCCATTCCGAGACAGTTTCTCCTGTCTTGCAGCGGGAGTTTCAGTTTCTAGTTGCTTTATGATCAGCATTTGGCTTTTCTCCTTTGGGGCCCGCCATGGCGTGATGATGTATTCCGTGCTTCCAGGGAAGCGGTCTCATGTTCAAGCCCAACCCTTGGCATGTCAGTGTTTTGCTCTTGAAAAAAGAATCAGCTGGGTCTCAGATGTCAGTTAGAAAAAAAAAACAAAACAGATTTGTCAACAATGATCTCAAAGTTGCCCATTTGAGGAAGGGCAGGTGCTGCCCTCAGTAGATATTGGAGGACGTATTGAAGCTGAGAGGCTGGCCTGTGAGTGACAGGCTTGGGGCTGCTTACCTCACAGAAATCTGGGCCTCAATGATCTCATCTGTGTGATGAGGCGAGAGGGTCTGAGGATCATCAACATCCCCCAGCTTTGTTACCCTGAGACTGTGAAACGAGGTGAAAACCTGCAGAACGGGAAGACGATCTGTAGCCAAGGACGTGGACATTTCCCCCCCAGTCGCTGCCTTGTTCTTGACAAAGTCCCTGGAAGCGCTCCTCCCTGGGAGTTCAAGACCTGGCCGTGTGTAGCTCTTACCCAAGAAAGCGCCTCTTGCTCATTGTATTTTTTCAGACCATGGAATGTCAGTGTATGAATGAGTTGGGATTTATATCTGTAGGCTTGGCTGCTGTTTGGAACTCACTTGGATTTTGAGATATAAATTACACTTGTGTGTTCTGGTCCAGGACACGTGTTATTTATTGTCTGAGCTTGAGGATCACAGAGGATCAGATCTGGGGGACCTAGAGAGTCTGTTTCAATGCTCTATATTTTGCCTGTTCCTTATCCGCTCACATTGGTTTCAGTTGTTTTGAAATAGAGCACCATAAATATGAGTGTGACGCCTGGGGGAGCTGCCCTCGTCCTTGCCTTCCTCCTGGGCGCTGGGTTTACTGTGCCCACGAGTGGTGGGGGCAGGGGGGAGGAGAGAGCTGGAACTGGCTCTTACACACCCTAGGTCTGACCGTGACACCGTACCAAGCTCTCTACACAGGCTGCCAGTCCTCTGTTACCTCTTTTTCTATGGAAGGAAACAGAGACAGTTGTACATTTGGGATTACCTTTGACAATGCCTTAAATGACCCATAAGGTACAAAGTGTAGAGACTGCTGGATACAGACAGCCCTGTACAAAAATGTGTACTATAAATGAATGATGCTCAGAGCAGTGCAGGCATGTCGTGAACATAAATGCGGGGAGCATTCTGACAGTATTTATTGTGATAATGTAAAAGAGAGCAAAAGAACGCTTCACACCCACTTGAATGGCTATTACTAAAAAATAAAAAATAAAAAGGAAAATAATAGGCATAGGCTGTATGTAGAGAAATCCGAACCCTTGTGCACAGCAGTGCACAAGATGGGAATGGAAAATAGTGCTGCCACTTTGGAAAAGAGAGCTCCCTCAAAAAGCCAAACACAGAATTACTGTATCATCCAACGATTCCTTTTCTAGGTGAAGCTAAGTGAAATCTTAGACATGAAAGGGCAAATTCTAGGATTGATTCCACTCTCATGAGGTCCTACAACAAACAAATTCATAGAGACAGTTAAATAGAGGTTGCTGGGTTGCAAGAAGGAGTGTGGAGTTATTTAATGGTTTCAGTTTCTGTGGGATGATGAAAACATTCTGGGGATGGATGGTGCTGATGGTTGTACAACACTGTGAATGTACTTGATGCTATGTAAAAATGTTTACAGCAGTGAGTTTTGTATATATTGATCACAGCAAAAAGAGCCAGAGCAACGGGTTGAAGTTGCATCACTTGCCCCGCCTCCTCTTGGGGGGCGTGGACCCCAGCACATCCTACCTCTCCTTCAGCATGGCCCTACTGGGGAGACATCAGTCCCATTTTAGAGGTGAGTAAATAGAGCGCAGGGAATCTGCCAGGTCTGTTATTCTCCTTTTGTTTCTTCCTAACACAGACACACATATTCTCATTTGTATGCCTGCTTACTGTCTGTCTCGCCTCTACCGGGAGACACGTTCTCTCAAGGCAAGGACTTTGTGGGGTCACTCACCCCCGTATTCCCTGTGTCTCCAGTGGTGCCTAGTACCCATGGATGCTGATACCAAGTGAAGATACAAGTAATAGTCGTCTGAGATGGCAGGGAGCAGACACGGAACAAGTGCCTCTCATCCTTCTGATTCTGCTCCCTGTGTTCTGTCTGGGTGGGTGAGGAGGGACCCCCTGAATGTGAAATCTTTCATGCTCCAAACCAGGATAAACATCCTCTGGAGAGCTGCCCTTGAGCAACAGCACCCTCCTGCTAGCTGCAGGGCCTCCCTCTTGGAGTCACCCACTTCCAGAGCTGGAATTCTTCCTAGCCTAGCCTCCTCCTTCCCCTTTTCGTGACCCAACCCCAGTTCACCTCGTGACCTAGACAGGGGAGCCCTCTTCTTTTGCTTTGCTCCTGCTGGTTGCAAGCTCTTCTGCCTCCCAGTTCTGGGCCAGCGTGAAAGCTCTCCCTGTCCCTCTCAGGGTGGCTGAGAGCCAGGGCCTGGGGTTCTCTGGGCAGGAGGTGAAAGCTGGCTCCACCTTCAGCCGCTGCACTGGCTTTCTTCTCCCTTCTGTGCTTCTTCTCATCCTTGTAGCTCCCTGGGGCTGCGGTTTTACCTTCACTTTCACTCCTGTCTCCAACATAAGGGCCTGTCCTATCAAAGTTGACGGCAAATCAAATTGTCCCCTGCTGAACAGGAAAAGGCTGTGCCTCACAGACCCCATCCAACCCCTGGTTTTGGGGTGTGTTAGGGGTGGTAGGGCCGGCCTGGGAGGGATAGGTTTGGGATCTGCTTACCTCCTAATGATCTCATCTGTTCAATGAGGTGAGAGGGTCTGAGGGTCACAAACATTCTTCCAGCTCTGACACTCAGGTCGTAAAACAAGGTGACAACATGCTGAGCAAGGGGAAATGATCTGTTAGCAAAGGACTCGAACACCTTTCCTCCAGTCTCTGCTTGGCTGACACCCTGTGTGCAGTGTCACGGGTACCGCCCATTTCTCTGGCTGCTGATACGTAGTCTGTTAGCCATGTCCGACTCTTTGCGACTCCATAGACTGTAGTCCACCAGGCTCCCCTGTCCATGGGATTCTCCAGGCAAGAATACTAGAGTGAGTTGTCATTAGTTCTGTTTTAAAACAGCTCAAAGGTGATTTTGGATGCACGCAGTAGTAAGCAGGCAGCTTACAGCAAGAAGCAGCGAGCAGTAGCTGGAAGCAAGACCTTAGTTTTCTGAAATGGGAGTTCTAACTCCTGGACCACAGGGGCCAAGGCCAGCAGCAGTTAGGGTCTGAGTCCCTAGTCCTTGCCTGTTGAGTCAAGAATGAATTCAGGTGAGGAGGCAGAAGGTGAAGAGTAAAGCAAAAAGTTTATTGAAAAGAAAGTACATGTGAAAGGGCCTCGGGTGAACTCAGAAAGAGTTTGTGAAATTTAAATCCTTTATAAGGGGTCAGTTCTCCAAGTCTTTGTCTTCCCTCAGGCCAATCATCTTGCTTTGTAATCCCCTGGCTATTTGTCTCAGTACCCTCCCCTGAGGTGGCACCCACCCCTCAGCCAAAATGGATCTCCAAGGGAAGTCTTCTGGGAGGAGCAAGACTCATTAGGGCCCGGCTTTATCCCCTGATTTGACCCCAAGGAGTCTTTCTGCACATGTGTCTTCCTTGTCCCAAAAGTGTGTGTGTGTGTGTGTGTGTGTGTGTGTGTGTGTGTGTGTGTGTGTGTGTGTGTTTGGAGGGGGGTGGGGAAGACTTAAAGCTTTACGCAAACAGGGTTTTGCCCCTCTTCTTGCCATGACTATTATCTTAAGATGTTTACAAGAGACAAAGACTGGCTATTTACCCTGTTTCTGTTGTTACTTCCATTTTGGAGGCAAACAGAAGGCTGACTGTAAATGCCTGGACTGAAGCCCACCTATCTCTTGTCTCAGGAAATGCAAACAGGAGGCCAGTTGTAAATGTCTAACCTGGAGTCCATCTATCTCCTGCCTCAAAGGGACTCATCTTTTCTCAGTCCTGGTCCCCGGTTTAATCTCCTTCTATGACAACAAAACCTCAGAGCAGACTGTGCTCTAGTTTTCCTTCAGTCCTTCTTGGGTCAGCATGAGCCCTGCTGTTCCCACTTCCCAGCATTGCCCTCATCTGCCCACTTCTTACCACCCCCGTGGCTGTGGCAGACCCCAGGGCTGCCCAATTACCCTCTGACGTGTGCCGTTGACTGCCAGCTGAGCACCCTGCCTCATCTGCCTCCTGCTGATACTCCAGATGTCAGGATGTACAGCTACAAGGTCGTTCAGACACAGAAGGAACCACACCACTCTGCAATGTAAAGATCAACGATTCTTGCAGGTACACAGGGCTCTGGGGCAATAGTGTGGCTAGCAGGTAAATGATTAAAAACAGCTTTTCAGTAGGATGGCACTTATTTGTAGCATTTGCCAATTTCTGTAGTGTAAATACTCCTACAGTGGATGATTTCAATCTACCGACAAGATGTTACTGATTGCAGTGCTAGGAAGAGATACACACAGCACACTATTATATGTGCACTAAATGATTTCAAGAGCAGAGGTAAGAGTAAAATGTAATATATTAATTAGGCCCTGATGAGTTTTGAATATTTATTACATTTTACTATATGATTTATTTACTTGGTGGTTTTGTTTAATGACAAGCTCTTAACATACCTGAAAATTGAATAACCAGCTCTCACAAGACTACATGCATTGATTCCAGAACATAACTGGAAACTATATTAAAAGTAAAAATGAAAACTAACCAAACAAAAGAATCCTTGGGCGCAGCAAGGTGATTGATGTACACAGCAGTTACACTGTTTCCTGGGAATGCAGGGCATTAGAAGAGGCATGGGAGATTGATGAGTAGAAGAAATGGAAGAAAGAGCGAGTGGTCTGTCCCTCCTCCACCCATTTTCTTTTGAAGTCTGTATCCAGGATTGCTGTGCTGTTCACAGAATCAGAATAGCCCGGTGACCTTCATACCCACTCAGGGAGCTCAAGCAGGATTGTTGTTCAGTTGCCATGTCATGTCTGACTCTTTGAGGACACAGACATGGACACGGAGTTTGTGCAGCTCATGTTCATTGACTCAATGATGCTATCCAACCATCTCATCCTCTGTCACCCCCTTCTCCTTTTGCCTTCAATTTTTCCCAGCATCAGGGTCCTTTCCAGTGAGTAAGCTCTTCGAATCAGGTGACCAAGCATTGGAGCTCCAGCTTCAGCATCAGTCCTTACAATGAATATTCAGGGTTGATTTCCTTTAGGACTGACTTGTCTGATCTCCTTGCTGTCCAAGGGACAAGAGTCTTCTCCAGCACTGAAATTCTTCACTGCTCAGCCTCCTTATGGTCCAACTCACATCCATATATGACTACTAGAAAAATCATAGCTTTGATAAGACCGACCTTTGTTGGCAAAGTGATGTTTCTGCTTTTTAATATGCTGTCTAGGTTTGTCATAGATTTCCTTCCAAGGAGCAAGGGTCTTTTAATTTTATGGCTGCAGTCACCATCTGCAGTGATTTTGGAGCCCAAGAATATAAAATCTCTGAATGGAAATCACTTCCTTATCTCACAAGGAGGGGCTTGTGCACACTTGGTAAAGCTGTGCTCCGATTTGGATCCAGAGGGAAGTAAGTGTTGGAGGCACCAGAGGCACCCCATTCAGAGTCTGCATGGGAACACACCCTTAGCAAGTCTCTGGCAAAGAATTCAACTCTGAGACTGAGGGTTGGGGATGTAGGATTAGACATGGACCCCACTTTGTACATTATAACCCAGGCCCCCTCTTCCTAGGCTTCCCAAGGTGGTGCTAGTGGTAAAGAATCCACCTGCCAGTGCAGGAGATGCAAGAGATGTGGGTTTGATCCCTGGGTTGGGAAGATGCCCTGGAGAAGGAAATGGCACCCCACTCTAGTATTCTTGTCTGGAAAATTGCCATGGACAGAGGAGCCTGGTGGGCTCTAGTCCTTGAGGCCACAGAGAGTCAGACAGGACTTAATGACTGACCACACCCTCTTCCCACCCAGATAAAGAACTCCATTCAGTTCCTAGGCCCATGATCCTTGTAGACAGAGCTATAAAAGATTTTTTTTAGGTTGAGGCACAACCAATATACAGTAAAGTGGAAGATTTTAAGTTGTCAGTTTGGAGGATTTTGATAGTCAAAAGTATTTGTGTAACCATCACCTAAAACAAAGGGTAGAACATTTTCAATTTTCAAGAGAGCTCCCTTTACCTCCCCACTCAACCACCCAACCACTGTGTTTATAGAGATTGTCCATAGAGATTAGTTTGCCTGAAAAAATTAGTTTTGATTATTCTGGACTCATAAGGTATGTATCTTTTTGTGTCTGGCTTCTTAAAAATTTAAGATTCATCTGTTTGGATTTTTATATCCATTTTTATTTTACCAGAACTCATTTATTCAACTACCTGTAATTTCCAGATTTTTTTTTCTACTAGGAAGAAAGCTACAATGAACATTTAAATACAGTTCTCTTTTGTAGATATAGGTATTTATTTCTTGTGGTAAATACCCAAGTGGAATTGCTGAGTCATGGGGTAGATGTATCTTTAACTTTCTAGAAACTAACAAACAATTCTCTTTAGTGGGTGTGGCAATCTACACTTACAGCTTTGCAGGAGAAATCTGGATGGGTCTGATTTTAGTCACACTATGGGGAGTGGTCTTCCCTGGTGGCTCAGATAGTAAAGAATCTGCCTGCAATCTGGGACACCTGGGTTTGATCCGTGGGTTGGGAAGATCTCCTGGAGAAGGACGTGGCAACCCACTCCAGTATTCTTGCCTGGAGAATCCCCATGGATACAGGAGTCTGGAGGGCTACTGTCCATGGGGTCGAAAACAGTCGGTCATGACTGAGTGACTAAACACAGCATTGCACATCACAGCATGGGGCGTGAAATAGAATGTCATTGTGGAGAGTTTTAACTTGTACTTGTTTGGCATTTTCACATTTTCTTCCTGAAGCTCACAACCTCCTCTACCTTTAAGTTTGAGGATGTCTTGGGAGTGTTTGCGCGTCTTCGGTGGCTCAGATGGTAAAGAATCTGCCTGCGAAGCAGTAGACCGTGGTTTGGTCCCTGGATCGGGAAGATATCGTAGAGAAGGGAATGGCTGACCACTCCAGTATTCTTGCCTGGGGAATTCCATGGACAGAGGAGCCTTGGCAGGCTACAGTCCATGGGATCTGAGCTATTCACAGCTGAGTGACTAACACTTCTTTTTGGGAGTGTTTATAGACCAGGAACCTGATGGTCATAGACAGTACTTTGCTCAGGTGATACTTGACAGTGTAGGTATTCAAGCCTGGCTCTGACTGTGTTTACAATCAAAAATAGACTTGATCTTTGTTCCTGGCTCCTGGCACAGAGATCCTAAAATCTTAGAAATTTCCTTAGTGATAGGAGTGCTTACTCTCACTGTTGTGTCCAACTCTTTGCAACCTCATAGACTATAGCCCGCCAGGCTCCTCTGTCCATGGGGATTCTCCAGGCAAGAATAGTGGAGTAGGTTGCCATGTCCTCCTCCAGGGGATCTTCCCAACCCAAGGATTGAACCTAGGTCTCCTGCATTGCAGGCAGATTCTTTACCGTCTAAGCTACCAGGGAAGTCCCTTAGTGGTGAAAGTGAGGTCGCTCAGTCGTGTCCGACTCTTTGCGACCCCATGGCCTGTAGCCTACCAGGCTCCTCTGTCCATGGGATTTTCCAGGCAAGAGTACTGGAGTGGGTCGCCATTTCCTTCTCCAGGGGATCTTCCTGACCCAGGGATCGAACCCAGGTCTCCCACATTGTAGGCAGTGGTAGGAGTATCTTATTATTCATAACAAGCCCCTTTTGGCCACCCCTGAGTTTATGCTAATTAATTGATTCTTGGTTGGCTCTAGAGAGCTTCAAGATGGTGACTGGTTGCCAGAAGAAACAACCACGTGATTATAGGAGTAAATTCCTAACCTCACCTTCTGACCTTTGAGTAGGGGAGAGGGTCTGGGGGTTGAATTCAATCAGTGATGACCACAATTTAATCAATCATACCCACATGAAAAAAAACAAGTTGGATTAAAAACTCTGAAGAAATGAGGTTAAAAGATCTTCTGGGTTGATGAACACATCTGGGTGCGGGGAAGGCAGCACACCCAGAAAAGGTGTGGGAGCTCAGTACAGCCTCCACCCCACACCTTGCCTATGCCTCTCTTCTGGTCAGTTATTCATTTGTATCTTTTTAAATAAAGTTGTACTTGTAAGTAGAGTTACTTTCCTGAATTTGGAGACTCCTTCTAGCAAATTATAAACCTGAGGGTGTCAGGGGGACCCTGATCCATAGTTGGCTAGGTAGAAGGGTAGGTCTGGGGACTTTATTTGCAGCTGGCATCTAACATGGGGACAGTCTTGTGGGATGTCCCTTGACATCCCTTGACATGTGGGATCAGCATCATGTCTGGGTTGTTAGTGTCAGAATTGAATTGAATTGTTGGACCCTCAGTTGGTATTAACCAATCAGAGACTTGGTGTTGGAAGGATGTATGTGACATCAGTAAAAACTCCATGCAGGCTGACTCTTGGCTACCTGCTGCTGCTACCCCTCCATTTTTGGTGGGCATATTGTACTAGATTGCCCTTTAAACAGTGAGACCTGCTGGTATTAGAACCGAAGAGTGACAAGACTGCCCTCCTCTGAGCCATGTGAACGTGCTGATGCTTGTGTTAAAACAGCAGAATCGTGACATCCCTGGGGATTTGCCAGACACTATTTATCAGGCTTCTCAGGACAGACTCTAACCAAGACTGAATTCCAGAACGTGTCACAGAGTTCAGAAGCGGAAGCAGACAGCATAAATTGTCAGCTGTGAGTTGAGAGAGATGACGTGGAGAAGTCTTGTAAGAGTACTTTAATGGAAATAGAAACATCATCAGTGACCAAGACTAATGGCAATAGAGTCATTATTAGGGACATTTAATGAATTTTATTATGTTTTGTGCATTTAAAAATACTAAGAACAGGAAAAGAGGGATACAATTTTTTGTCTCTCATTATTAGTTGTACATAATAAAAATATCCATTAATGTTGTTGGGACTATTTGCTAGCTTTATCAGAAGTGATGTTTTCCCAGAGTGTCTAAGACTTTTTCTTTCATACTGTGTGGTCAAACCTGGAGTACACTGCAGTTTAGACTCTGAAGCTGACTTTATCACGAGGATATCTGGGTACTAACACTAACCTGTGAAGACAGTCCTTGCCATTATCTGTCCATGAAAACCTCTGGGGAACTCCTGAGACCTTGAGACCACCCAGCTGCGTGAGCACAGACTGTGGAGAGCCAGGCGGTAGAGAACTTTCAGTTCCATGTGGTTTTATAGGAAGTGGCCCCACACATCCTCTCTTTTCACCACAAGTTAGGAGATGAGGGGCTCGGTCCTGGAGAGGTGCAACACCTGCATAAGTCCAGCTGGTCCCTTGCAGGAGGAGAACGCCATCTCCTTGGACTTTTGCTACTGTGTGTGGGGGATGCCGGTTGCAGGGCAATGCCTCACTTCTGGAGAGAAAGGAAGGGGAGAGAGAGAGTGATGGAAAATATAAGCTCCGATCCATTGAGCCTTTACCATGCATCAGCGCTGTCAATACTTGGTGCATCCATAGCCCTAAGGAGAGAAGGCTGAGCCTGGGAAAGGTGAAGCGAGCTCCCCAGTGTCAAAGGTCCAAGCAAGTGGGCATCTGCCGTGTGATCTGACTGTACAGCAACCCAGTGTTGTAAATGCTGCCCTCCTCCTAGTTAAGAGTCTCACTTAGCCCCATTGTTCAGATGATGATGTGATTTTGGGGTCTTCTTGGTCTCAGTATTACAGAATCCATTGGCAGCTCATTTTTAGCCTGGTCCCTGGTCACCCAGGTGGTACTAGTAGTAAAGAACCCACCTGCCAATGCAGGAGATGTAAGCAATGTGGGTTCAGTCGATTCCTGGGTGAGGAAGATACCCTGGAGGAGGACATGGCAACCTACTCCAGTATTCTTGCCTGGGGAATCCCATGGACAGAGGAGCTTGGCAGGCTATGGTTCATAGGGTTGGACATGACTGAAGTGACTTAGCACTGGTCACCCAAAGACTGCTTCCCAGTTATCTTTGTGGGGGACACCCAGGCTCACCCTGAATCAAATGCTTCCATTTTCTTTGGTCTTCACTGTAGCTCTGAAGAGGGGGTACACACACACAATCACTACTAGGGTGGCCTTGTCCAATCCCACCTGTTAGGCACCTCCAGCATCAGCAGCTTCCCCTTGGTCTGGTCAGTGGCTGTTTTCCAGTGGCTGAAGAAATAGGTGTTGTCTGCTTTACCACATGTTCTGTGTCTTTCCAGATGTCCTGTGCTGCTCATGGGCCTGGGAACTGTGCAGTCCCCCAGACCCAGAGAAGTCTTCCAGCTTCAGGCAGACAGCAAGGAAGAAAACATCCCTGGACCATCAGTGAGCCTTTTTGGCTCCTGGACTCTGGCATCAGAGCAAACCTGCATTTTACAAGACTTTCCTTGCTTTGGCCTTAAACCTGAAAATCTAGGGAGAGAAACCGTGGATCCACATGGACTTGGAGGCCAGAGCAAGTAGTAGGTGAAGATTTCACATTTCACACTTGCTTTCTTTGCTCAACTTTTGTCTAACACCCTGACCAGGAGCCTGGTGGTGGGCTCATCTTCCACACCCAGTTCTTTCCTGGCTGCCTTCTTCTTTATTTTTTTTTCATTTTTTAATTGGATTTGTAAAAAACTGTTTCGTTATCTTTTTCCTTGGTCAAGCCACACAGCACGTGGGATGTTACTTTCCCAACCAGGGATAGAACCCACAATCCCTTTATTGGAAGTGGCCTTAACCATTGTATCATCAGGGAAGTAACTTTCCTGGCCTTCTTAATAGCCTTTGATCCAACCCCTTCTCAGCACAGTCAGCTGCTCCTGCTTCAGCTCAGGCAGTAATCATTTCTCACTGTGGCAACTGGAACAGCCTCAGACAGGGTCCCCTGTGGCCCGTGGCCCTGTGCTCCAACACAGGGCCTGGGTGTGTCTTGGGTGTCCTGGGTGTCTTGCCCTCTCTCACTCATGTGGCGAGAGTTCTGTGGTTGGAAGTAACAGAGACCTATTCTGGTAACTTAAACAGAAGAAGATGCATAGGAGGGGTGTAGGTTTGCCCATGGGATGGAAGGGAGGGCTCGCGGAGCAGGCCTGGAGCAGACATCTGTCCAGGGTCTCAATGGAGAGAATTAATCACTGCTCCCTACTTTACTTTTGCAAATCAAATGTTCACCACAGTTGCCAACTTTCAGAGAGTGTCTGGGGGAGGGAGTGGAGCATGGCTGAAGGCACCCAGGGCCCTGAGAGAAGGATTTGGGAGTAAAGAATGAGGTGATGAGTGTATCTCTGGGAGTAAAATAAAATCAAAGCTCAGAGGGCCATGCAAATCAGTCATCACTTCGAAGAAGAAGAAGAAGGGAGGCAGGGAGGAAGAGGGAGGGACGGAGGAAGGACAGGGAAGAGAGAGAGGAGACAAAGAAGGCAAAAAGATAAATGCAAAAGAAAGGAAAAATGGGGAGGAGAGTGGAGAAAAGAGGATCTCCGAGACTTGAGACAGTGGTCAGAACCCAGGAAACCAGCCAGGTGTCAGAGATTTGAGGCTGGGAGGTGGCTCCTGGGGAAATTCCTTGAGCTGCAGAAATGGGCCTCTGGAGCTCTGGGTGGGGTATTTGGGGCCACAGGGGTGGTTAGGAAGAGATTATCTAAGGCCACCTGCCGGGGGCCATGCTGGGCATAAGTAGGGCAGGAGGTGAGTCACAGCCCTGTCCTCAGTGCCCACAGGGAAGCAGGACCCTGAGATCAGCTGAGAGAGTAACCAGGGACAGGAGAGGATGCAAACAGCTAAGTCTTGGAGCACGAGGCTGTCGTCGGTCCTCGGCAAGGTGGGTGTCCCCTGACCTCCTCACAGAGGAGAGCAATCAGACTTAGAGATCAAGAGCCATCATCAGCACCACACAGCTAGATGTGGTGCCCCTGGGATCTGGAATCTGGATGCAGGGTGTCTGCTCCCACAGCCCATGTGCTCTCCTCTGCATCTCACCTGCAGCCTACCTGAGACCCAGGGAGGTGAACAGCGTGGCTTCTTGGTTAAGGGGTGTTTGTGCTGGGCAGGGGTGCAGTGCACAAAGGCAGCTGTCCCTACCCCGCTCAGATGCACCCGGGCTCCTTCTCAGATGTTCCTTCTCTGCAGTTAAGTGCGCAACATGGAAAATGGTGGGGGCATCCCTAACTCCTCCAAGCTGGCCTTTCAATGTCACCAGGCTGCTCCCTCCCAAGTTTCAGTACATTTTCCAGCTGTTGATTGCTCCAGGGCTTGCAGGAGTGGGTCCTGTGACCTGGCTGTTTTCTCAACCCAGCAGGATCACAAGGGCTTGTTTTGTTTTTCTGCTGCTGCTAGGAACTCAAACCTTGCTGTGGGGCATCTTATTTTGCCTTCCAAGCACACTTGTTTTCTCCCGTCCCCAGGCCTGCTTCCACTCTCATACCTTTCAGTATGCCATCTGGAAATCCTTGAACCATTCTAAAAGACAAGGGACCTCCTTCCCTGGAATTCGCTGCTTGTTTCCTAATTAGGAGTCAGTGGCTTGAATATAAACGAATCATTAGATCCATTAGAAATGCCAAGTTCAGATGGTTGTGAGTTTTCATTTAGATATTTTCTGCTTCTTGGCCCAGCCCAAACAAGCACTCCAGCATTCCCCAGTTACTTTGTTTCTCATGGTCAGATAGATGACTTTTCTCCTATAATTCATAAATCAGGCCTCACTGGGGTTTCAGTGAATTCTTTGACTATTGCTCTGATTAATCAGGGAATTGTATGCTTTTCTTTCTTTTGGAGTGATCCTTTCTAAGGACCGAATTTTCGTATGTCCTTGAATATAAAAATGAACCTAGACTTGAAGACACAGGGCATGAGCATTCCCGCAGCTGGGGAGGGTCTCCTTTCCCTGCAGGAGAGCTGAAGCTCTGGGGACTAGAGCCAGGAGCAGTCACCCTGGTGGTCATGCACTCACTGGGGGTGGCAATTTGAGCAAAGCCTTTCCACCTGGAAGATGACCATGACCTGCAGTAGGCAGAGCAACAGCAGCAGGAGCAGCATCAGCAACAACAACAAACAGAAAGACCACGTCACAGGTCCTTGAAGTTACTTGATCAAGCACTCCCTTAATGTAAGTAGATATTAAAAAACAAGAGCAAGACAACCAACCAGGCAGAACTCCCTCCACACACGGGGTGGACAAAATGTGGGTGAAAATAGGATACAAACGGTGACCTCTCTGTCCCTGGAGATGCTGCCAAGGTGCGGACTGGTGGAACACACAGCCCCTCTGGGTCAGGGATGACTCCCCCAGCCTGCAGGGTCTCTCTGTGTCCCCGACCCTACACAACAATTCAGGATCCTTTCTTTCCCCATTCACTAGACCACTGTAAGTGAGATAGAGGAATGGTTATGAACACTTTATGCCATATTTTTACCTTTGTGACATATTACATCATCCATGCCAGTTGAGTCTGAGATTTCTTTGGATCACATGTCCTATGCGTATTGAACAGTGTGAGAAGTTCCATCTTAATAACCCCTTGCAAAGCCCCCTGTGGGGCACACAGGGACAGGAATGTCAGTCCTATTTCCTGATGAAGAAATAAAGGTTCAAATGGGTGATTTGACCTCTCCAAATCACAGATTCCTCCAAGAGCCGAGCCTGTTCTTAAACTCGGATCTTCTGCCTCCAAGTTTAAGGCCATATCCATTCATTAATCACCAGAAAGAGAGTTAGTCTGAATCTTAGAGTTGATTTTTGAGTCTTTGATCATTGGATACAATGGGAATCATAGCTTCATGGGGAAGGCATGTAGTTCTGTTTTGCTGAATAAGCTGGCCATGTTTCCAGCAGTAACACTGGCTGAGGGACAAGTAGGGGCCAGGTTGAGAGTGGGGGTGGGGAGCTGCCTTTGAGACTATGCAGTGACCCTTATTTTACTTATGCGTATGAGCCCACCCAAAAGAACACTGCCTTCTAGCCACCCTAGTCAGAGCCCGCTAAGACGGGGCTTCCTTGGTGGCTCAGCCAGTAAAGAATCTGCCTGCAATGCAGGAGGCCTGGGTTTGATCCCTGGGTGAGGAAGATCCCCTGGTGAAGGAAATGGCTACCCACTCTAGTATGCTTGCTTGGGAAATCCCATGGACAGAGGAACCTGGTGGGCTACAGTTCATGGGCTCAAAAGAGTTGCACACAACATAGAAACTAAAACACCAGCCACCAAGACTACTGGTTCCTTAGCACCCAAAGCAGCTTTTCTTGGTGGAATGCAAGCAGTTCCCTGCCTGGGGCCCTGCCAAGGCTTGGCAGAATTAAATGTGACATTCAGTTCCAGATTAAACAAGTTGGAACAGTTTTGCTGAAGGTGTAGATTTTTATTTGTTTTTTTGTTTGTTCACTTACTTACTGAGACCTTACTTTAATGACCTGGTTTTGGATTTCTGCATGAAAGATGCATAAGCACGATGAGTATTATTTTTATAATGGATGTTCATAATGATTATACTAACAATGGCACCTTCTATTTCTTTAAAGTTTGTTTCTTCCTTTTAAGCTTCATACCAGGAATTTGGGATGGAATTCAGGGTTTCCTAGAACTTCACAGGGTGAAGAGAGTGTCTAGCTGCTCCCTGAATCCTCTCTATGAAATTCCTACTAAAAGTCCTGCAGCTTGGACTCCCCCAACTCATGAGGAATTTTCTACTTTATGGAGCAGCCCATTTCCCCCTCCAGCTGCACTGTCTGAATGTCTGTCTTGAACAGATTCAACAGATGTAAAAACTTGAGTGGAAGAGTTATTAGGTTTGTGTTTTCACAAGCCTGCCAAGTGATTCCCAAGCAGGCTAAAGTTTGAGACCCACTGCTCTACAGGACACTGTCTTTCTGATAATAACTGTGATAGTTACTTTTATGTAGCAACTTGGCTGAGCCATGGTACTTAGTTGTTTGGTTAAAAATGAATCTAGATTTTGCTGTGAAAGTTATCTTAATCAGTAGACTTCGGGTAGATAAGACTGTTGTTCAGTCGCTAAATTGAGTCTGACTCTTTGTGACCCCGTGGGCTGTAGAACACCAGGCTTCTTGTCCTCCACTATCTCCCAGAGTTTGTTCAGATTAATATCCATTAAGTCAGTGATACCATCTAACTATCTCATCCTCTGCCACCCCCTTCTCTTTTTGCCTCCAATCCTTCCCAGTATAGGTCTTTTCTAATGAGTTGGCTCTTCGCATCAGGTGGTCAAAGTTTTGGCTTCAGGATCAGTCCTCCCAGTG